AGGCATTTTTTCAAAATTGCCTGTTTCTTCCAGATACACTTTTTTTCTTTTTTTTTTTTTTTTCAATATGGGTTCCAGGGATCGAACTCATGACCACATGCTTGCAAGGCAGGCGTTTATGCCACTGAGCTAACTCCCCAGCCCCCAGATACACTTTTGACTTTCACATTTTTGCAGGAAAAAACAAAATTAGTATTATAGCACACTAATTTGTGATTGTTATTCATCTGTTCAGATTTTTTTTTTATCTTGGTACAGTTTTGGTGGATCATATCCAATTTTGATGGAAATTTATCCATTTCTTCTAGATTTTCTAATTCATTAGAATATAAATTTGTAAGGTGTGCCTTAATCCTCTGATTTCAGTGGTATCTGTTGTAATTTTACTTTTTTATATTTTTGGTAAGATTATGGTTTATGTCTTGGTTATTTTCAAAAAAATCTGATTCATTTATCCTTTATATATTTTTTAGTCTGTTTCATTAACTTGTGCTGTGGTCTTTATTTCTTTTTCCTAGATTTGAGTTTTTTCTTGTTTCTTTAAGACCTGGAGATGAATCTTTAGGTTACTTGTATGGGATTGCTGTTTTCTAATGTAGGTACTTATATCTATAAACTTGCTTCTTAAAACTTTTCATTTTATATCCCAGATTCTCATATGTTGTGTTTCCAATATTTCATTCTAGGAATTTTCAAAAATTTGTCTCTTGATATCTTCAATGACCACTGGTTATTCAAGAGAGTATTATTAAGCTGGGCATGGTGGTGCATGCCTGTAATCCCAGTGTTTGGGAGGTTGAGGCAGGAGGATCACAAGTTTGAGGCCAATGGCAGCCACATAGTGAGACAATGTCTCAAAAAATAAATGTATCGTTTACTCTAAATGTGTTTGTGTAGTTCTGTGATTTCTTCTGCTGTTAATTTCTAGCCTTATCCCATTGTTATATAATAGGATATATGAAATTATTTCAGTCATTTTGTATTTCTTGACTCACCTTTTCATCTAAAATATGATATATTTTGGAGAAATTTTGGTGGGCTGCTGAAAAGAATGTGGTCTGCTGCCGTAATGTGGAACACTACGTTTTTTATTCAAACTCCATTTACTCTAGTATAATTTAACTCCAATTTCGCTTTGCTTTTTGCGGGGAGGTCTAGTAACACACCTGTTCATTTGTGAGAGCAGAGTATTGAAGTTACCCATTGTGTATTGGGATGTCTGAATTTTATGTAAAGAAACGTGTTTTACAAAATTAGATGCACCAACATTTGGTACATATTCAGTATATTTATAATTTATATATTTCCTTGAGAATGTTGCTTTTACCAATATGAAGAGGCCTTTGTCTCTTCTAATTTTAATTTGAAGCATACTTTGTCAGATGTAAGTATAGCTACTCTGTTTGATTTGGGCCTCCAGATACTTGGAGAACCATATTCCATACTTTTACTTTAATTTTGTATGTATCTTTGCAGGTGAGGTGTGTTTCTTGTAGGCACCATATAGTTGGGTGTTGCTTTTTGATCCAATCTGCCAGTCTGTGGCTTTTAATTGGAGAATTAAGACTACTTACATTCATTGTTATTATTGAGAGGTATGTACTAATTCCTGTCATTTTGTTGTTTTTCTGATTTTGATTCATTCCTAATATTTTTTGTTGTTTATCTACTCTTCCAATGAAATTTATTCTTGTCCTTAGTCGTGTGGTTGCGATTGTCCTCTTTCTGTGTGTTTAGGGTTCCTTTAAGTACTTTTCTCCAGTGCTGTCTAATGGTCATAAATTTCTTTAGTTCGTAGTTCGAAGATCTTTATTTCTCCTGCAATTTTGAAGGATGGCCTTGAGGGATATAATAATCTGGGTTGGCAATTTTTTTTCAGGGTTTGAAATACATCATTTCAAGCATTCCTGGCTTCAGCAGTATGAGATATCTGTTGTTACTCCGTTTTGCTGTTTTAAGTGATTTGGCATTTCTAAGCACTTATAATATTATTTCTTTGTTCTGAGTTTTTGGCAGTTTAATTATTATATATGTTGTGGAGAGCCTATTTTTTGTTCATGCCTATTTGGTTTTCTGAATGCCTGCAGTGGTTGATATCTGTATCATTCTTCCAGATTTGGGGAAGTTTCTACTATAATTTCAATAAATAGGTTTCCTGTACCAATAACTTGTTTTTCTTCACCTTCCTTGCAATCAAGGTGCACCCCTTCCCCCATATTGGGAATTGAACTCTGGGTCTTAATACTGAGTTACATCCATAGCCCTTTTTTATCTTTTTGGGATGAGGTCTTAGTAAATTGCTAAGTTGTCCCAAATGGACTGTGACCAAAGAGTCTTGTATTTATTCTGTTAGAGTTATTCTTTGAGAAGTTATAAGTTCTTATATAATGTTTTTGCTACTTTTTTTTATTACTATTTGAATATTCTAGTGTATCCACCTTGTATTGAAGTCTTGATAGTCTTTCTTCTGATTCATCTTGCCTACTGCCCAGGACTTCCAGTTGAGTTTTTTATTTTACTACCTCAGAATTTCATTTCCAGGATTTCTGTTTGAGTATTTTTCAGAAGTTCTCTTTAGTGAAATTTTCTTTCATATCCGGTAAAATTCTATAATTCATTTACGTGCTTACTTGTATCTTCTTCTCATTGATTATTTCAGTTATTAGGTTTTTTAAAAAATTCTTTGTCTGAAATTGTATCCGTTTTTGTGATAGTTTTTGGAGGCCAAACTATAGTTGCCTTCTTTTTGTCATGATTCTTGTGTTTTTGTATTGATTTTTGCACATCAGTTGGGACGCACGTCACTACCACTGCTGTGTGGAGATCTTTTTAGTAAGTAGCTTTCTCTCTGCATTGTATTGTTGACTGTAGGGGTATCTCAGCATGAAAGCAGCCACTGAACTTACTGTAAGTACTGGGTCCAGTCCCTAGCTAGCACTGTTTTTTTTCCCTCAGCACTGCTTTGCAAGGAGTGAATAACTACTACTGACACCAACGCTGAAAGAACCAACAATATATTAACTATCAGCATATAATTTAAAAATTTTTTAAAAGTTCTGTACCATTTTCAGTACCCTAGAGAAACAAAGGGAGAGTAATAATGTAGAACAGATTAGGAAAAAGAAGAAGAAAAGAAAGACTTTCCTTTGCAAGCAGGCAGTTGTGAGTTCGATCCCCGGTACCGATAAAAAGGAAAAAGACAAAAAAAGAAAGAAAGACTTTCTTTCTTTTGGTGCCAGGAGTCAAACTAATGATCTCATGCTTGCCAGGCAGGTGCTGTGCTGTTGAGCTACATCCCTGGCTCAAAAAAAAAATAGACTTTAATGATAATATTTACATACCAGGAAAGAAAGTATAAGCAGGGGGCATGAGCTGAAGAAGAAAGAATGAGCAAGGGATTATAGACTGGAATTGCAAGGGGTTATAGGAAGCTTGAATACAGTTAATGAACTAACCAGAAATACAAAGTTAAAAACCCGTACGTAAGACACAAGCAAGCTTTGGTATTGTCGGGGGAGGGGATGACAAAACAAGGTAGGATCCTGTGGAAGCAAAAGCAAAAACTAACACACGTGTGCACATAAAGCAAAATCTGACATTCCTTTTCATGTGAGAGTATTCGATCTGGAATCAGTTATTTCCCCTAACTTCCCCTTGGACACTGCCTAATAAGGGAGTTGGGGATGTGTGAAAATCTTTTCTTGTTCACAGTTCTCTTTGTCCACTTTTGTTCAAATAGAAGAAGCAATTTAGGATAATCTAGAGACTGAGCTTTGCCCTTCTGTGATTGTAGATGAGTATTGGTGCAGATCTGCTTTAGTGACACTGGCCCATGTCTGTCAGCTCAGTCTACTCCATATCCAGTGAAGGCACTGGACAAACCCAAGCTGTCAACCAACTTCTCTCACAGCTCATTATCATATCATGGTCTTGATTTGGAGGCATAGCTCGTCAATGTCTATACTTTCTCATGTTTACTCTGAGTGCCTCTCAACAGAAAGAAGGGAATTGAGCATGTAGGGTCTGTGCTAAGGGGAAAAGCCATGTTGCCCCCTCTTCCGCTGGTTTCATGATGTTTCTAGATTCAGTCCCCCTCCCACTATAAAACCTTATGTGGTAGAGGTCTTTTGCTGACCCAGTATTCACTCCCTGTTTGTTTCCAGCCCTCTGAAACTTTTCCAGCCTGGAATTCAGTCTCTCTCATGCAAGGAACTGGGGCATTTCCACCATCCTGTGATTTTAATGTTTCTGTTTCTTATCACCATTCTCTTGAGCCCAAGCTATTAAGAGTTGATACTCATGGACTCCTTGGAGCAAAACAGCTGTTGGCATCCTGGAAATACAAAAAATGTGGGTTTTCTGTTCTCCCATATCACCCACTAAAGCAGAGGAAATGACTTAACATGGCTTCCTGCCCAGTTCTAAGTTCATCTTTTGCTTGTTCTACTGAAAGAAAGGCATGTTTTAAGATGACTTCTTAGCCTACCCCTGTCTAAATCTGTATAGAAATGCCAGATTTCCTGCCCTTGCTCATTGACTGGAATTAGGTCTCAGTTTTCTTAAGGCAATTTCTGTCCAGTAGTAACATTAAGAGTCATGAGAGTATAATTTGGTTTTCTTTTACCATGGAGGGGAGAGAATTTTCCCTTCTCCTCTTGAGCTGCCATTCATTCAAGGTTGGTGTTCATTATTTTTGTTACTTTACTTAGCTTTCTAAATAACAATATTCCTGGGTTTCACCTAGTGGATAGTCGCTCAAGTTATAGTTCAGCAATTTCCCGTGGTTCCTGTATCTCCTCACAAAGCCATGTACCTGTTAGTGTGGATGAAGATTTTAAAGTGAATACAGGTTACATCTAGTCTGCCAACTTTTGAGTCTATGATTCCTTTCCTGAATTAGGTCATTTTTGTTGATACCATTGGTTGCATGATAAAATTTATGAAGGTAGAACAATTTTTTTATGATTATGTACTGACTTGGATTTGTTTCTTTTGTGTAGAAGGAAATGTACAGTTTACAACTCAAATTCTACCAAAATTCCCTGAAGATGTTCAAGGTATGAAGGTCAATGGAACTAAAATGGATAATAATAATGAAGGACACAAGAATGGCAATGTGAGTAAAGATCTCTTAGCTGCGTCCAGCAAATACTCAGCAGTAGAAGAAATCACAAACAGTGGCAAGATTTCAGAAACCAGAACATTAGTTTCAGTAGAGCCTTTAACTTCTGTGGATCCTGAATTAATAGAAGCAACTCCTAAAGAAAAAGAATGTGGAGAATTACAAACTTGTACTTCTGGGTTGTCATTATTACCAGAGAACAGTGCCATTCCTGAAATGGACAACAGGAAAGAACAGTTGTGGAAATTAAACCTGGCCTGTGCAGCAGATGACAATCACCAACACATTCTTGGCCACTATAATGAAAAACACAGTTCTATATTTGACAGTTCCATAGCCACAGGAAATGTACATGCCATAAAACCCTTGAAAGAAAATTCTGAAGTTTTATGTCTCATACAAAGTTTATCTGGTCCAGAATGCAGAATAACATCCTTAGGAAAGTGTGGTTTTGAAAGTAACTTGCAGAAAAGATCTGATGAAATGACAGATAATTCTTGTTCTAATAAGGATGATCCAAGCAAGAACTTGGCTTCTAGAGAAGAAAATGAAGAACAGTCTTTGAATCTCAGGAGTGAAAGAAGAGAACTCTTTATAAATGCCAAACAACTAGAAAAGGGTTCCAGTGGTTATCGTTTTGGTGAAAAAGAAACTGTTGATTCCCCAAAAGGAAATGTTCATCATAAGTATTGCATTCAAGGCAATAACCATACAGAGAGCTCTAGTTCTTTAATGTCTAGTTCTTTAACTGAAGCTGTGGGAATAATACTTAACAAAGATGATTTGAAAATCACTTTAGACATTCAAAGTAAGTTTACAGACTGTGAGGGCCATAAGGAAACTGTTACTAATATGAGCCATCTAGGCAGACACTCTGAAGAAAGCAGTTTTTCCTCCTTGGTGCAGATTGAAAAGCCAGAACAGACAAATACTTTGGAGCCCAGTACATTAAATGAAAAGATTTACAATAAGGACTCTAACTCCTTAGTCAGCTTCCAGAAAAACCTGGAAAGTGATACTCAGTTAAAAGAAACATCATGTAATGATTTTCTGTCTGAAAGAAAATTCCTTGTTAGTTTAATGCCAGAAGATCAGATAAGTTTTGTGTCTAAAGAGGTATCAAAAGCTGAAAAAGATACTACTCAGTTACCACCATCTCCAGAACTGGATTATAGATCTGAATCAGAAGAAGCTGTAGAGACCTCACATGGTAATATTCCATGTTTAAATGAACAGAAAATTTCCCATGAGATGAGTGAACTTTCTTATACCAGTGAACTGATTGTAAGCAAAGTAGAATGTGAATGTGTTTTAAATCAAGTGTCCCTTAATTCTCAAGATCACGTGAAGTTGCCAACTGATTCCTTTCTGCATATAAACAGAACAACAAGCAAAAATGCCCAACAGAGCCATCATCCTCCATTGGAAAATGGAGCAGATGTCATTGCTGATAACCAAATCCTTTCTACTGAGACAAAAGTAAAAGACATCCCTGCACTAGGTGACATAAAAGACATCGCTCCACTAGGTAGTGCCTCTTCAAACAGTTCTACTTTCAACACCACACCAGGAAGCCTAGAAAGAAAAAGAGAAATGGCTGATTCAGGAACAGATCTACATTCCAGTTTCCTCTCAAGTGGAAAAGAAGCAGCTGGCTTTCCTCCAGAAGTCTCAGTCACAGAATGTCAAAGTGTTCAATCTCAGGATACCTCCAGCTGTCACTGTGTAAGAAAAAATGCACCAAAAGATAACTCATATTCTGCTTGTGTTGCTTTTGAGCCCAACAAAATCATCATGAAAGTCAGTGACTCTTCAGGAATAAAATGTGAAAATGCATTTCAGCATAGTGATCACCACTCCCAAGAAACGGAAGGGTTCATGAAAATTAGTTGTATATCACAAGAGAGTACACTTGATGGGAGAAAAACTGAAGGCAGCTTTACAGAAGATAAAATCAGAAATGAAATGACAGCTGATATCTCAGATAGTGGGGCTTCAAATACTCACCTCACTGGTCACACCAAAGCCAATGAGGAAGGGCTAAATAGAAAGGAACTATATATACCCAAAGAGACTGTGTTTTGTAAATGTAACATCTCTGATTCTTCTACACAAAAACTAAACCAATTTGCAAACATTCCAAGTTCTGAAACATTGTCTCCTACTTTTATGTTCTCCAGTTTTAAAAACATGAACCAAGCAATTGAAAATCTTGATCAGAAGGTAGAAATTGTCCTTGACTACCAGAGTAACCAAAGTAGACCAGATCAATATAAATGTTACGATAAACTAGCAAAGGAGACACAAGATAGTGACCAGAGACAGACAGTCACAAACCACAAAAGAGAGGTAAGCCGCAGTGAAAAGGACCAAGGAGTTCATTCAGGCAGTAATAACATAGGGTCTTGTGGTAGTCCAAAGAAAGTTGATTCCAAAGGAGCTGTTGGAGATATTTCTGGTTCTGAAGAGTTCATAGATAAAAAAATCATTGTCTGTGCAGACCATAGTATAAAGCCTACAGAAGGTGTGCTGGGCATAAAAGTATCTAATACATGCGATTGTGGTGTGTGGCAAGATAAACTGCCAGTACACAAAACCTTAAGGAGTACCTCAACTCAGAGCGATGAGCTAAATGCTGGATTTATAGGAAAAACCAACCAGGACTCAGATCTCTCAAATGCTGCTAATTCTACAATGCAATCTCTTGAAACAAAAAAATCAAGTGAAGAAAAAGTATACAAGTCTTTAAAAGCTTGTGAAATGGGAAACTGTCTCCACTCTTGTGCCCTTGAGATGGAGTCTGTTGCAGATCATGAACCAAATACAAGAATAATGAATAAAGTAAATGTGTCTTTAAATTATGTTCATCATGAACATGAAAGTAAAGCCACATCTCTGAGAGGAACACAAGGAATGACTGAAGTATCAAAACCTGAAGAGATAAATTCTGAGTTTGGCAAGGAACAAACCTTTGGAATATTCTCAGAAGACTCAGTGTCTTCTAGATGCCAAGGTGAGAACCCTGTTCCCTCAGGGATACTCAAATCCTTTGCAATAATGCCTTTGTGTCTGTTTTCTCAAGAAAATTCAGAAACTGCTATCAGTAGTGAAGAAACCTACCTGAAGACTCTCGCTAACCCAAAGGGTGGTGAAATGCTTTGTGAAAATGTAAAGGACTACACAGTCCTGCCTAAGATGAAGGTAGAAGTACCAAGAGATACGAATAATCCTAGTGAAGGATACATCAGTGTGAAGAACATTGGCAAAGCTTGTCACCCTCATGAGAATTCCACTGATAGACATTTGCCTTTGATAATGGAAACAGCAACTAAAGTGAGTGGAGAAGAAACTAAAGGACAGCAGAGTGGGTGCATAGGTCATTTAACTGCTGAAGAACAACCTAAGATGATTGCCAGAAAAGGAAGGAAGAGTTGTCATTTGAGCAAGACTTCTCAGACCCTCTTGAAATGCCAGAGGATGCATGATGATCCTAAAAAACGACAAAGCCAGAACATTTTGAACTGTGTATTGCTGAAGGAAGAGGAACATGTGTGTCAAAAAGGAGCACAGATGATATTGGAACAACAGATACTATCGAATGTGTTGTCAGATGAAGTGCAAACTAAGTTACAAACAAAGGCTGATATATATGAATCCACCATGATGAAAGAAATCACCCTAGCAAAACGAACCAAGGGCAACATTGCTGAACCATTTCAGAGAATGAAAGACCCAAAGGAGGAAAGCTTTTGTCATTCATTAAAGGAGGACATTGAGTTGTGCACATTTTGTTGCCTTCCTCAGAAAGCACAAGACCCCAACTCTGCTGGGTGCGATCCAGTACATGGTGCCTTTGTGAATACTTGCCGTCAGAAAGAAATGCCTCCCTTAAAGAAGCAGCCCCATCGAACATGTAAAAGAGTTTCCTGTCAGGGGCCAGTCAGCATGCAGAGAAAATTAAATAAAAGTAGAAGTTCTGCCTTTGGAAACAGTTCCTCTGATCCCATCCCCACAAAAGTACACAGACTTCTCAGCTCACGTGCTACATCTCTGCCCACGCCATTGGAACCCAAAACAGTACCTTCCAGGAGCTTGCTTAGCCACATACCAAAGCAGAGGACTACGTGCCATCTTTTGAGGAGGCTGAATTTTAGGAAGTCTACCAAAGAATCAGCCTTATTAAACAAGCTATCTATTCTTGCCTCCAAACTAGTTCCTGCCACAAAAACACAGAAACTCAGATATCAGCAGTGTTCCTCTGCACTTCTTCCAGTGGCCAAAAGCTACAAGCGCCTTAGATATAAAAGGCTCCTGGATGGATTTTCATATAATGCAATGCAGCTGGATCCATATTTGGCAGCTAGTGGATGGAATAAGAGGCCTCACAGTAATCCCGTGGCACTTTATTCTCTTGAAGCCATCAAAATGAGCTTCATAGATTTGAACAACAAGATGCCATCACTGCTTTTTGGTTCTGAAATCTTCCCAGTTTCCTTTCATGTGAAATTAGCCTCTGATTGCATGACTGAGTTCTCAAAGACTTTTCCTGAGCACTGTGCTCCAGCAAGGCTTGCCTTAGAAGAGGCCTCCCAGTGCCCATCTCAACCACCCAAGTGGACTTTTTCTTTCTTTTTGTCCCATGGTTGCCCTGGGATGGCCACATTCAGGGAAGACACTGGCCTCCATAGTCAGACACACACTCAGGCTCCTCAACAGACTCCAGTTCCTCTCCCAGACTGTGGAGACACATCCATAGTCCCGACCAGAGCAAACTGCTCTGTCCTTGGCCTTCATACTCTTCTAGCACTTTGTTCCCCCGGATGTTACCGAATCTGGACAAAGAAACGGAGCTTCTCCAGTCACATGCCAACCATGCAGAGGTTGTTCATGGCCCAGTTTACACAGGGCTTAAAAGGGTTAAGGTCTCCAGCTTCCATAGCAAACAAGATCTTCGGTTCTCTGCCCTACTCAGTGGGCAGAGTGCTGTCTCTTTGGAGCCAGCATGGGCCTTCCTCCTGCTTCGAAATCTCTGCTCTTCATTCCATTCACAACAAGCAACAGCCAAGTCTGGGCACCACAAGCAGGTAAAATCTGTCCACTGTTCTTTAAATGTTTCCTTCCTACCACTGGGGAGAGAGAGAGCACTATTGGAAACATGAGGCTCTTTAGAGTCATCTTTATATCTGTACTTATTTATATTGCCAGTAATCTGAGAAAATGTAGTAATAATTCTTGAATGTACATGCCCATGTTTTTCTGCTAAATCTACTGCTCTGTAATTTTTTTCTGTCCCATTTTATTCTTCAGATCATCTTTTTTGTTTTTTCCTTGCAGGACTGGGAATTAAACCCAGAGCCTCACAAATGTTATACAAGTCACACTGCCCATTTTTATTTTATTTTGAGATAGGGTTTCACTAAATTGACCACACTGACATCAAACTTGTGGTACATCTCTCTGAATCTTTGGAGTAGCTGGGATTACAAAGTATGCCCCACCATACCCAAAAAACGATTGAATCTTTTGAATCTCCTCTTTATCCTTTTGCCCTGGCTTTGATAATAAATACCCTATAAGCAAAATAGTATTAGTGGCTTATAACTGTATTTGTCTCACAGAACATTCTACAGTAGCACCTAAATCAATGTTTGGTATGTAAAGGATACGAAACAAATACTTTCTTAGTGAATGGATAAATTAATATCACCAGTTCTAGATTATGAATATCTACCATTTTTTCTGCAATAGAGAGGCTTCAAAATTTGACATATGCATTGCTAAGTTTCTTTCTTACTCCAGAAAGAATGGCCATCATCACAAATTCAACAACAAATGCCAGCAAAGTTGTAGCGAAAAAGGTGGAAATGTAAAGCAGGACAACTACTGTGGAAATTAGTGTGAAGATTCCTCAAATATTAAAAATACTCCATTTGATCCCGCTATGTGTACTCTTCTACGTGTTTTCCCAGAATTTAAAGACATCGTATTACAGTGATACACACAAATCCTTGTTTATAGCAGCACAACTCACAATAACCAAGTCTTAGAAATGAACTATATATCCATCCACAGATGACTAGATAAAGAAAATGTGCTGTATATATATATATACACACACACACAATACTGTCTGTACTTCTCAGCCATAAAGACAGATACATTTGAGTCATTTGTAGAAAAATGGACACATTGTAACCATAAAGCTAAGTGAAATAAATGAGGGCTGGGGATTTAACTCAGCGGCATAAGCGCCTGCCTTGCAAGCAGGGAGTCATGAGTTCAATCCCTGGTATCGATTTAAAAAAAAAAAGTGGGGCTGGGGATTTAGCTCAGCGGCATAAGCACCTGCCTTGCAAGCAGGCAGTCGTGAGTTCAATCCCCAGTATCGATAAAAAGGAAAAAGACAAAAAAAAAAAAAAAAAAAAGTGAAATAAATGAGACACAAAAAGTTAAGTATCACATGATCTCTTATATGAGAAACCCAAAGTATGAATTACTTATTTTATTTATTTAGGTTTTTGTGATGGTTTCACCATGTAGCCCAGGCTGGCCTTGAACTCACAGCAATCTTCCTGCCTCAGACTCTTGAGTTCTGGGATTACAGGGGAGCCCTACATGCCTGAGCCAAAGTATGAATAATTTGAAGAGCAAAATAAAAAACAGGAACGGTAGAACTTTGCAAATGAAAAGGCATTTCTGGATAGAGAGGAGGGGAACTAAAAAAGACTAAGAGATGACATATATGTATCAGCTTTCCATAATGAGCAGACTTGTTATACATCACAAACTTACACTAGTAAAAAAAAAATTGGTTTTTTCATACTTCAGTTTTAGTGCTTATGGAACTTAAAGCAAAATGGGCAGAAGTTCTTGTTGCTTGACCACTGAGAATAATTGGGAAAAATTGCATCAGTATCACTGTACTTTCTCATTGAAAATAGAATAGGAAGAATTACTGAGTTAAAACTACCCATCTAACCAGGGTGTGGTAGTATATGCCTATAATCCCACCACTCACGAGACTGAGGCAGGAGGATCATTGTGAGTTCAAGGTCAAACTACTCATTGTTAGAATCTATACGGGGAAGGAAGCTGGGTTTAGTTTGTCATAGAGTATATGCTTTGCATGTGCAGGGCCCTAGCTTCAGTCTTCAACACCAAAAATCCTTCTAGTTGTGATGCTTTAGATGAACAGAAACTTTGTAGTTCTTTAATTTGCCCTTATTACTGTAGCTAGGGCCAAGGATATAGCTCAGCACCACAGCACCTTCCTGGCAGGTGCAGAATCATCAGTTTGATCCCTAGTACCAAAAAAATTAAGAAAATACATCCTGTTGCTGTAGCTGAAAAAATTAAGCTGCATCAACACAGTAACAACAAAACTAATATTCCTGAATTGCCTAAAGAAGGCCTTGGTTTTCGTTTTGGGGTTTTTTTTTTTGTTGTTTGTTGCTTATTTGTTTGTTTTTGGTTTGTTACACATCTGGGCAGTTCCTTGTCCAGAATTTTTATGTGTCATTAGAAACTGGTTGACACAATGCCTACTTGGCAAGCACAAGATCATGAATTGGATCCCTAGTACTACCAGAAAAAAAAAAAAAAAAGCTGCTGGTACCCAGATAGTGGTGGTATACACCTCTAATCTCAGCACTCTCAGAGGTTAAGGCAAGAGGATCATAAGTATAAGCCCAGCTAGGCAATTTAGAAACTTAGCAAGATCCTCACTTTAAAAAATAAAAGGCTGGATATGCAGCAAAAGCTTGGGGTTCAGTACCCAGTATGGAGCAGGGAATCCCCATTATGTGTTATATAGTTGCCTGAGTGTTTTAGCAGAGAGCTAAATAAATAAAGGGTTTGGAAAAAACACTGTAGAACTCTAAACATTGCTGATTGAAATGAAAAGGTGAATTACTATCATAAACACATGTCCTATAGAAAATAGAAAAACAGGGCCCGGGATTATAGTTCAGTGGCTTAAATGCGTGCCTAGCAAGCATGAGATTGAGAATTTGAACCTTGGTACAAAAAAAAAGAAAAAAAATTATAATCGCTTATACTGCTGCCATAAAAGTACATTAGAATGAATCAGATTGTTTTCAGTGATGGCATTGTGATCTTACTATCTGGTTTGTTGGTCTGTCTCTAAATCTCATAATTACTTTCTACTATGTGTCTGTGGCAGACAGCTTTAAACTATTGTTATTTTCCTTAAATAGATTTATTCCTGAGGCTGTTACTCAGCAAATTACCATTTTACCCTGTGAAAATACTACCTTTATCCCTTATTCTTCTTTCAGGTTCTTGCTTATCTGATTTTTATATGTCTGAGGTTTCTTCCTACCCTGTTTTCTGTATCCAGCTTTTCATTTCCTATATCTAGCTTTTCGGTTTTTTTAAGTTCAAGTAGAAGACTGAGGAATGATGTTTGTCACTAAGAGTGGCTCTAGGAATGCCTGGGTTCAGACAGAATTTACAAAGGTTGAGTTTTGTTTTTTAGTTTTTTGTTTTTAAATTTTTGATACTGGGTTTTGCTATGTAGTCCAGGCTGACTTTGAATTCACTGTGTAGCCCAGGCTGTACTCACAATTGCAACAATCCTCCTGCCTCAGCCTCCGGATGCTGGGGTTACAGGTGTGTACAACCGTGCCCAGTGGAAATTATATTTCTGTAGAATTTTCTCATTTAAGTCTTATTCTCTAGCATTCTGTAATTCAGGTTGAATATCTTTGTTTGTATGTGCTTTTTATCAGTGCTGAGACTGACACTCATGACAACTATTGAAGCTGTTGGAGTTTTCCACTGAGCTAAGTGCTAGGACCAAGGGCTCCTGATTTGGTCAGCTTTTTATCTAGTATTCCATTATGCTTCTCTTCTTTTATCTTCAAGGAAACTTGAGTTGGTACTTGGTATTATTCTAGGACTCCAAATTATCTCTTTTTCTTAGCCGTTAATCAGATTCTCTGTAACTGGGTGTGGTGTCACATGCCTATACTCCTAACACTCAGAAGGCCAAGACAGGAGGATCACTGCAAGTTTGAGGCCACCCCAGACTACAAAATGAGTTCAAGTCCAGGCTGAACTACATTGTGAAACTCAAAAAAGACAAAAAACCTGAATTCTCTGAAATTCTATGCCATATTCTAAAATCATTAGAATATAATGTTTTATTTTGAGAGGAACAAAAATCTCTACATCGTTGTATCTATAGGTGATTGGTACTATTGTTTCAGCTATGAATGTGGAATTTAACTGTAATCAACTTTTTTTTTAAGGAATTGACTCTTAACAGCTTTTCCTACATAATGTTTTATGTAAAGAAAATAATGTTTCTCTACAATACTTTGAAAGATTAAGTGGCAGTTTGTATTTCAAATTAATATAGTGTTCGATAATGCAAGGTTTAGCCAGATATGGTGGCACATGCCTATAATCCTAGTGCTTGGGAGGCTGAGGCAGGAAGATTGCTGCGGGTTTGAAGCCAGCCTGGGCTACACGTGAATTCAAGGCTGGCCTGAATTACATAGTGAGACCCGCACACACAAGACACAAAAATAGCCAGGCATAGATAGCTCAGTGGCACAGCACCTGCCTGGCAAGAACAAGGTTATGAGTTTGATTCCCAGTACCGAAAACACCCCTAATAATATAATAATAATAAAAGAGTTTTTTGTTTGTTTTTTGGTCTTTTTCCTTTTTATCGATACCCGGGATCGAACTCACGACTGCCTGCTTGCAAGGCAGGTGCTTATGCCGCTAAGCTAAATCCCCAGCCCCAATAAAAGAGTTTTTAATTTTAAAAAGCCTTCAATATTCATGTTCAATAACTTTGTTAAATGGTATAAGGCCCAAAGTCATTTTCTTTCTCCTTTTTTCTCTTCCTGTCCTCTCCTTAGTTCTCTCGCCTATCTTCTTTCATTTAAATTAGAAAGTAACCAGTTAGGCATGATAGCACAGACTTGTAATCCCCAGCACTCTAGAGGCTGGGACAGGTTTGCTGAACTACATAGCAAGACCCTGTCTCCAAAAAAAAAAAGGAAGTAATCTTCCTGTCAGCATACTTCCGGTCTAGTGATAGACACATAAGCGTATTTCCCATGGGTGGGAGGTTTTCATCCTTGCTAGGATCTGTATCATGTACTGATATGCACAATAGTGTCAGAACTTTTCCTGTCATCCACTATGATAATTGCTGCTTTTGTACTTTTGCTTAACTTCAGCCACACCATATTACCGTATGTGCCTCTTCCGGCCTTGGAAGCTACATCCAGAACTGGTGGCAGTCAGATGAGGTAAGCCTTTGGCGCAGGAGAGCTCCGAAAGAGTGGGTGGTGAGAGAACAAGAGCGTGCTTAGGTATTCACAGATGGTGTGGGTCAGGCTTGGCACCCTCTGGCCTTCTTTCTGTCCCTGTAAACCTGATCTGTGTCTTTCTCATCTCTGAGATAGCTCCGCTGTATTACAAATAGGGACTACAGGTGTATAATCAATACCATTTATTTAAAAAACTGAAAATTACTAGTCTTGCACACCAGAAGGCCACTCTGAAACTATTTTATTTCTTGTTACTTACCCAGCTTCAGTCCCTGAGTTGGATCAATCTCTTCTGAGCATTATTCATGTTGAGTTCTCCAACTGTGTTTCCCTCAAACTTGTTTTTTTTTTTTTCGCATTTCTCCTATAAAATTTCTTTATACCAATGAAATTAAATGATCATATTCTTGTAATTTTTTTACATATATAGACCCTGGCTATGTCCAGAAATGACTTACAGCCTCCCACCCCCCGCAAAAGAAATGACTAGAAAACAGGTGTACTCAAGATACCTTTCCTAGAAAGAAATACATCTTTACCTCTAGTGTATGGTAAGAAGGTGAATGTGCCAGAGATAGAAAGCAACTCCTTCTCATGTTGTCTTCCCTTTTCTCTATGACCCTAGACTGGAGCCTCCATTCCCTACCTTGGTACCAAAGTCTTGTTTGGTAACAGACCCAGCTGTCAGCAAGCTTCTGTGTTCAGCCTCTGAGTTCCAAGTTCCTGGGTTTGATGAACTGGATGGTGTGACAGCAGTATGCCCCCGACCGCAGAGCAGCCCTCCAGAACAGAAAGAGGTAAATGTACCACTGGAGTTGGTTGATCATAGACTGACATTGCATGATAGGTAGACTACCGTGAATCTCTACTGACTGCCTCTAGCACCAGCTCTGTACGAAACACACTAAGCTAGGAGTTTCTGTGCATAGCCAGTAAAGGATGCTTTGCATTTCTTGTTTTTTAGTTTGTTTTTAAGTATGGTATCTCACTATGCTATACAGCCTTGCCTTGAACTCCTCGAATCAAGATCTTCCTATTTTGGCACCTCCCAAGTACCTGGAAATACAATTGGACACCACCATACCCACCTAGAGGGTTGGGTTGGATTTGGTTTAGTTTAGTTTGATTTGGTTTGGTTTGGTACCAGGAATCGAACTCACAATCTCATGCTTGCCAGACAGGACTTGGGCCACTGAGCTAACTCCCTGGCCCAAAGAAAAAAGATTTTTTTTTTTTTTTTTTTTTGCTACTACGGATTGAACTCAACCTTGCACCTGCCAGACAGGTACTTACACCACTGAATTAAATCCCCAGCTGTCACTTTGAGTTTTTTAATATGCATTATTTTCCTTACCTTTTCTTTCTTGGTGACATTTAATTATGTTTGTAGACACTTGGGCCAAAGAGCAGCTTTGTGCATTCAAAGATGAGTGAATGGTGGTGTTTTTCAGTTTTGCGATATCTGCTGTCTTTACAAGTTACAGAATTTCATATTAATGATCTCAATATCTGAATGTATAATTCTCTTTTAGTAATGTGGAGCTGAAATATGTTACTGAAAATGGCTAAGAGGGAGAGTTCTGTCATAGCTGTTTATTAGATAGTGAAACTGATGTGCTGCTCACTGTGCCAAAATCACTGCTGAAACAACAGAATAAATGCATCCCTGTTGTGCAGTGCTAGGAGTCAAAGTCTTATTAGAACTCTATAAACTGAGAAAACAACGTCTGGCGTGTTAAAAGGAACTTTATTTAACATGTCTCAGACCTTGACCATCTTTCTTTTTAACCCTTAAAAACAGGCTGAGCCAGAGAAGAGGCCAAAGAAAGTCTCACAGATTCGCATCCGGAAAACCATTCCTAAACCAGATCCTAATCTTACTCCAATGGGCCTTCCTCGCCCCAAAAGGTGAGCACCTTCTCTAATATAAACTGGGTTTGCTTTTTTGGAAAATTGTTAGGAAAAATATAATTACCTTTTTAAGTGAATATACTCTAAGCCATTTACTATAATTTGATAAATTTATCCTAATAAATTGTCAGCTGGCTATTTATGTACAAAGATATTATAGTACATTCTTATTTTTATTGAATTTACTGTCACATAAATGCTTTTATTTCCTCAAATGTACCTTTGTATTCAATAGTGTTTGAAGATGAGTACTGTTGTCCTCCCTGGTTGTCTTTTTTTTTTCCAGAGGGCAGCAATGGTACATGCATTGCGCGTTGTCATCCCCAAATCACTCAACCAGAGCACAAGACATCTGCGTTCAATTGTCCAAACAACACCAGTACAAATGTTTCTCTTCAGCGAACTCAGAGAAATCAGTAGTACAACTATCTTAACTATTTTTTATATACATATATATACACATCAAGATACATTTTTTCTCTCAGCTCCTTCCAGGGTTTAGATGAGATTATTGAGACTCAGTATTTAGACTTGCATTAGGTCCTAAATGTCAGTCATAAGACATGTGTCCATCATAGGTTTACCTAACCCAAGACACCAAGTGCCAAACACTAACTAGTAAAGGACCTAAATTTCATGAGTTTCATTGTTTTAATTTTTTTTTTTTTATATTGGGAATCAAACTCACTACCTAAGGCTTGCCAGGCAGGTGCTGTATTGCTGAGCTATATCCTCAATCCTCATATTTTTAAAGGCCTACAAATTTAAATTTACATTAGCTTTCTTTTGGTAGATTTCTCTCTATTTCTTGGTAGCAAAAGGAAGCCCAACAGTACTTTCCTGTGTAACATAAGAAGTTATTTAACCTTCCTAAACTTTAGGAATTTACCTATAAAACAAGAATTAAATATTTTTAATTCTTTTTTTATCGTTGTTAATTCTTTTTTTTCTTTTTTTTTATTTTAAAGAGAGAAAAGTAAAATTTCGGAACATGATAATTAGAATGTAACAATGGTTAATACATTACATATTATTATCTTTAAATTAGTTACTAGAGTACAAGATAGCTGCATTTAATTGTCCAAACAATATTAGCTCAAACCTTTCTTTTCAATGAACTACGAGAACTTAATCTTATTAACTATTAGAATAAAAATTCTTAAAACTCAGGATTGACATCTAATTGAGAAAAGAAAATACTGTATTCTAGTGATTCACTCAAAAGTTAATGCAGTATGAATTATAATCATGATTCTTTTTTTCATACTTTATATATTATTTGATGAATTTTTGTGTTTTTTGCAACTGAGGCTAAAACACATGACCTTGGGGCTAGGGATTTAGCTCAACGGCATAAGCGCCTGCCTTGCAAGCAGGCAGCCAGGAGTTCGATCCCCGGTACCGATAAAAAGGAAAAAGACAAAAAAAAAAAAAACACATGGCCTTATACAGCGCTACTATTGAGCTATTCCCAAACCCTTATAATTCTTTCATTGATCATCCTATTGTATGTCTTTTTAAGAGAATTTTAAAAATATTTCAGATATCCTTCTTTATTTACTAGAATGAAAGCGAATTCGAGATCAGTTATATTGTCTTGCTTTTGTATATCTCAAAAATTTGGTTTACATAAATAACTAATTGGGAGCAGGAAGAGGTTTTTCTTTTTGTTTTATTGATTATACTGCAGATTAAATCCAGGAGCTTATTCGGCAAGCCTTCTACCAGTGAGCTACATCCCTATCCTTTTTTTTTTTTTTGAGACAGAGTCTCACTGCATAGTTTAGGCTGGCCTTGAACTCATAGAGATCCTCTTGACTCAGTCCCCACAATGCTAGGATTACAGGTGTGCACCACCATGCCGGGCGAGAACCTGTCTTTATCCTATATTGTTCCTCCAGTATCTCTTATGAACAAACTGAGCATAATACTCACTGATTAAAAAAAATACTTAAATGATCCAAGATTGACTCCATTATCACAGAGAAGATCATGAAACCCACATTTTGATCTCTGAAGCAACAATTTGATAATTAGTACATTGAACAGTAAAAATATAACATATTATTCACTTGCTCAGGAGCTGTTTTAAGAAGAAATTTGAGTAAATGGAAATATAATACAGAACATATGAAAAAATCAAGCAGTAATAGCTGGGAAGCCAGGTGTGATGGCACATGCCTATAATCTCTGCACTTGAGGCAAAAGCATTGCCATGAGTTTGAGGCCAACCTGGAGTATATAATGAGACCCTGCCTCAAAAACAAAGCAAAATAAAAATAAATAAAAGGGATAGCTGGGAAAATTCAAAAAAGGAGTGCTTATTTCATTTTTTTTGTGCTTGAAATTACACTCAAGCATGGCATGCTAAGCACATCTTATACCAATCAGCTACATTCCCAGCCCCCAAGTCTGGAATTTTTAAACTTTTACAACCATGGTTTTCACCTCAGTTACCATTTCAGCATAGGGATATGTTGGGTAGAAGTGATGTGGTGAATGTACCTTGCTTACTTTCCTTTTAGAAACAGACAGTGGGGTAGCTGGATACAAAGTCAGCACTCAAAAGTTTATAGCACTCTGGAAACCCACCTAGGAAACTCACTGGGAAAAAAATTAGGGAAACACCACCTTTCACAGTAGCATCCAGAACAATGAAATATCTAGAAGTCAATGTAACAAAGTAAGTAAAAGACCTTTACATTGAAAACTACATTGAAAAAAGGAACTCAAAGAGGATATCAGAAAATGGAGGCCGGGGGTTTAGCTCAGCGGCATAAAGCACCTGCCTTGCAAGCATGAGGTCGTGAGTTTGATCCCTGGTACCAAAAAAAAAAAGGAAAGATGATCCTTGTTCTTGGGGAGGAAGAAACAATATCTTGAAAATGGCCACACTTCCAGAATTGTTATATAGATTTAATGCAATCTTGAGCAAAATACCAGTAGCATACCTCATCGAATTAGAGAAAACAATCCCAAAATACATTTGGAACTAGAAGAGATCTAGAATAGCAAAAGCAGTTCTGAGCAAAAAGGCAAGGAAGGTGGGTATCACAATCCCTGACTTGAAATTATACTACAAAGCTACCATGATAAAAACAACATGATACTGGCAAAAGAAAAACAGACCCGGGCTGGCTTTAGCCCAGCGGTTCCTTCGAGTCTGGCTTCCCAATCGCCCAGGTCGATTGGTCGGGTGGATTGAGACCCGCGGGCGCTCTCCAGTCCTTTTTTAAAAAAAAAAAAAAGAAAAGCAGACCCAAGGATCAGTGAATAAATTTAAAAATGCAGAAACAACTCCAGACAATACCTAATCACCTTATCTTTGACAAAGGTGCCAAGTACCTTCACTGGAAAAAAAGCCTCTTTAATAAATGATGCTGGAAAAACTGGCTTTCTGCATGCCAAAGATTAAATCTACATCCATATCTCTCACTATGCACTAAACTCAAATCAAAATAGAGGGGACTGGGATTTAGCTCAGTGGCATAAATGCCTTCCTGGCAAGCATGAGGTACTCCATTCAATCCCCAGTACCAAACAATAAAAATCAAAATAGACCAAAGACAATTTTTTTTCTTCCAAATCCATTTTATTTCAAGGAGAAAAAAATAAAAAATACTTTCAGAACACATCAATTGGGGGGCAGCAATGGTACATACATTGCATATTGTCCCCAAATCATTCACCCAGAGCACAGGACATCTGCATTTAATTGAAAGACCTAATTTTTTTTTTTTTTTTTTTTTTGGTACCTGGGATCAAACAACTGCATGCTTGCAAGACAGGCGCTTACACTGCTGAGCTAAATCTCTAGCCTGAAAGACCTAAAAAAAAATTTTTTTTTTGGTACCAATCAAACTCATGACCTTGTGCTTACCAGGCAAACACTTGACCCACTGAGTTAAATTCCTGGCCCAAAAGAGCTAAATATTAAAACAAACACTAAAAAAAATAAATAAATAAACACTAAATCTGCTGGAAGATAAGACTATATAAAACTCTTGAAGACATTGGTATAGGTAAAGACTTTATGAACAAAACTTCAGCCACACAAGAAATATTACAGGAATCAACAACTGAAATCTTAACATATTGAAAAACTTTTACACAGCAAAACAAACCTCGCACAGAATGACAAGACAACCCACACTCTGGGAAAAAAATCTTTGCCAGCTGTTTCTCAAAGGACTAATATTTAAAGTATATAAATAACTCAGTAAAATCAGACTCCCCCCAATTTAAAGACCCAGCCCAAAAATAAACATCTGCAATGAATAGACACTTCTCAGATGAAGAAGTAGAAATAGCAAATAAATACATGAAAAAATGTTCAACCTCACTGGTCATTCGACAGATGAAAATTAAAACAAAGCTGAGGTTCCATCTCATGCCAGAAAAAAATGGCTATTATCAAGAAATCAACCTTCAGGCATGATATATATACCTATAATCCCAATACTCAAGGGGCTGAGGCAAGATTGTCGTGAGTTTGAGGCCAGCCTGGGTTGCATAGCAAGAACCTGTATTACAAAAATCAAAAAGAGAAAAAATAGCCATTAACAAATGCTGGCAGGGTTATGGGAGGAAAGAAACCCTTCTGCACTGTTATTAGTATAGACTGGTACAAATGGAAGCTTATGGAGATTTCTCAAAAAACTAAAGCTGGAGGTTCCATTCAATCCAGCTATTCCCCTTCTTGGTACCTTCCTGAAAGAATTAAAAGCATCATACCACCAGTTCACACCCATGCAAGAGACTCTATTGTACTTACAGAGCACCTGGTTGGATTAGTTCTCACATGAGCTTTCCCTGGTGTATTGAGAGGACCCTTAGTGAAAAGGAACAGTCTATTCCTGAAGCAGAAGAGGAGGTCACGCATAAGAAGCTAGGGAAACAAAAACTCATGTCTTTATGTATTTTTAAATTTTATTTTGAAGAGAATAAAAGCAAACAAAACAGAACAGAGTCAAAACAAAAGGATGAACATGACACAAGACTTAAAAACAAAATACAAGGAGCTCAGCAATGGCTACCATAATGCCTCTTGTTATCTTCAAAAGAATTGCCCATATCATCAGGCATAATAGAATCAAACAAAATAGTACAGAATAATACCAGTAAAAACAAATAATGGATACAGCATAGGAACGAAAGTAATACAGGGCTTCAAATCAAGCTAATAGGAAATAAAAAATGGTTACCATAATATATTTTGATATCTTTGAGATAGTTGTCCATGCCATCGAATATAATACAATTATACAAACTGATACAGAATAAAACCAAACTAAACAGAATAATGAAGACAATATGGGTTTTCAAATCATGCCTGCTGCCTTCCCTTTTTAGACAATTGTGGATGGATCTTTTTTTGTTTGTTTGGTAGTGGGGATCGAACTCACAACCTTGCGCTTAAGTGCCACTGAGCTAAACCCCTGGCCCAAAAAACTCATGTCTTAAGAATTAATTTAGCACTGGGGATTTAGCTCAGTGGCATAAGCACCTGCCTGGGGAGCTCTAGGTCGTGAGTTTGATCCCCAGTACCAAAAAAAGGAAAAAATTAATTTAGCAAAAATTGCTCCTAAAAGGTTTTTTAAAAAACTGAAAGTAAATCTATATGTTTCTCCCTCCTCAACTCTGAACAGGATAGCAACCACTACCAACTCAGGACCACTGTAAACTAAATCCTCATTTTAAGTCTGTCCACACACCAGGGATCCAGGCCACAAATCCACAAAGAAGCCCAGCTTGTGCTTACTAATTCTTAGAGAGAATTTTTTTCCTTCACCCAGTGTCAGAGTTTATGGAAGAAAATTTCCTGTGCTCTGAAGGTGTTAAGATACAACTTACTGGGGACTTAGGATATAGCTCAGTGGCATAAGCACCTGCTTGGCAAGCACAAAGTCCTGAGTTCGATCCTTGGCACCTAAAAAAATTTTAAAAAGATACAATTTATTGGACTGGGGATGTAGTTCAGTGGCACAGAACCTGTCTAGCAAATGCAAGGCCCTGGGTTTGATTCTTGGTAAACCCCACCCCCTCAAAAAAATATTACCTTAAAGTTATTATATTGGTTGCTTTTCTGGATATCTTTGTGTGTGTGTGTGTGTGTGTGTGTGTGTGTGTGTGTGTGTGTGTGTGTGTGTGTGTGTGTGTTTCATTTTTATCGGTACCAGGGATCGAATTCACGACTGCCTGCTTGCAAGGCTTATGCCGCTGAGCTAAATCCCCAGCCCCCCTTTTCTGGATATCTTCAAGAGAATCGAAAACGTATCTCTACAAAAACTTGTACACAAATAGTTGTAGGAGCACTATTCATAATAGTTAAAAAGTAGAATGTGAATGGATAAAGAAAAGGTGGCATATGCTCAGAATGGAATGTTACTAAACCGAGTGTGATGTGCACTCCTATAATCCCAGCACTGAGGAGGCTGAGGCAGGAAGATCATAGCAAGTTTACAGCCAAGCTGGTCTGCACAGTGAGTTTAGGGCCAGCCTGAGCTCCATAACGAGATTCTGTCAAAAAAAAAAAAGAAAGAAAGAAAAAGAAAAGAAAAAGGAATGGTGTTTTGTATGAAAAGGAATGAAATACTGAAACTGAATACAACATGGGTTAACCCTGGAAACAGTATGCTGAATGAAAGAAACCGGACCATTATAGTAGCACAATTCACAATACTACTAGCTTAAGCTCAGGAGACAGCTAGATCTCCCCCAATGGACAAATGAATGAAGAAAATTGGCCTATATACACATTGTCATAAAGAATACATTATGTCATTTATAGGAAAATGATTGTATCTTGAGACCATAATAATATTAAGTGAAATAAGCCAGAAAGTTAAATTATCACATGATTTCTTTTATATGAGAGATACAATTACCAGTACATTAAAGAGGAAAATAAAGGCAGACTGTCTGGAATGGTAGAAAGGGAAAGGTAGGCAAGACCAAAAAGATGACTGTAAATGATTGAGATAGATTTATCTGCCTGCATGTAGAGTATCAAATTTTTTTTTTTTTTTGTCTTTTTCATTTTTATCAGTACCGGGGATCGAACTCACGACCGCCTGCTTGCAAGGCAGGTGCTTATGCCGCTGAGCTAAATCCCCAGCCCCGAGTATCAATTTTTTTAAAGCAAGAATCAAAAGGGCACACCATGTGTGATTACATATATATAAAATGCCTGGAATAGGCATAAATCTTAGAGGCAGAAGATAGGTAAGTAGTTACCAGGTGGTGAGTGAGTCAGAACTGCTACTGCTGTGTACACTCTCTTTAATATGGGTCTCATTGTGTATTCCTGAATGGAATGCAGAACTCGTATGTGGCCCAGGTTACCCCAAACTTACGGCAACTCTTCTTCTGCCTCATCCTCCTGAGTGCTGGGATTACAGGTGTGCACTACCATGCCTGACCAAATTTTCTTTTTTAGGCTATGAAAGTATTCTAGTTTAGATAGTGGTGATCAGTAAATAACCTTATAATTATTCTAAGAAACCACCAAATTGTACCACTGAGTACATGAATTTTATGGTATATGAACTGTGGCTCATTGATGAATAATACAGGCAGGAGATTTACAAGATAAGCATAGACTGTCTTGTCATACAATAAAGTAACACAAAAAAGGAAAAAAGATGGAATACTAACAACTTAGATCATAAATTAAGACAGTTTTTTTGTTTTTTGTTGTTTTGTTTTGTTTTGTTTTTGAGACAGGGTTTCACTATGGAGTTCAGGCTGGCCTTGAAGTCACTTGGTACCCCATGCCGGCCTCGAACTCACAGCGTTCCTCCTGCCTCAGCCTCGTGAGTGCTGAGATGACAGGTGGGTGCCACCACGTCTAGCCTTGACAATATTGATCTGAGTTAAAAGATCTAGGGACTTTGTAATGTTCAAGGGAAGAGTAAAACTGTTGATTCACTTCATAAGTTTAGTGTACTCATTAAAATTTTTGCCAGCTACTGAAAGAAAGAGTATGTAATTTTCAAGCCAGGAGAGGAAAATAAAAATGAATATAGGGCCAGGGATTTAGCTCGGTGGCAGCACCTTCCTGGCAAGTGCAAGGTTGTGAGTTGGATTCCTGGTACCCCTCAAAAAAAACTACATTGCTCATAATAGAGTGTCCACCTAGCGTGTGTAAATCCTGGGTTCCATCTTCAGCATGACAAAAGAAAAAAGAAAAATTTTTTGAAGAAAGATAAATTGAAGTCTGACATGGTGGTGTGTGCCTGTAACCCAGCACTCGAGAGAATTGATGGAGGATTGATGTGAGTTCAAGGCCAGCCTGGGTGTATATCAACACCGTGTCTCAAAAAAAAAAGAAAGTAAGTGAAAAGGTGGCACAGAGAGGCTGTAAAATGAGATAGTCTAAACCCAAATATATCATTTCTGATAATTTTATTAATGGGTGAAATTTTATAAAGGTGAGGGTTGCCAGCCTAGTTAAGAAAACCTAGGGATTTAGCCCAGTGGCTCAAGCATTTGCCTGGTAAGCACAGGGTCGTGAGTTCAATCCCCAGTATTTAAAAAAAAAAAAAAAAAAAAATAGTGTGTTCACATAAAATTCATCCCTTATTACAGAAAAATTGAGAGTAAAAAAAAAAGATAGGGTTGGGAAACCAGGCTGTACTCTTTTTTTTTTTTTTTTTAGAGAGCATGAAGAATTTATGTCTCTTTTCAGGTTAAAGAAGAAGGAATTTAGTTTAGAAGAAATATATACCAACAAAAATTATAAATCTCCTCCTGCAAATAGGTAAGTACATGTGACTGGAAAATGAAAGGTAGAGAAAAATTGTACAATTGTTGGTGTAGAGTGGAGACACAGCTCAGCAGCACAGTACCTGCCTGGCAAGTATGAGATAAGGTTGCGAGTTTGATTCCCAAAAATAAAAAGAATATACTGTGCACCCATTAAATCAGTCAGAAACATTTGTGCAAATTGGAACAGAAGGTTATCAATAGGCCAGAGAAGCCCATCATAGAACAGTGTATATAATTGCTACTCTTTTTTTTTTTTTTTGGTACGAAGGATTGAACTCATGATCTGCGCTTGCAAGGCAGGCGCTTAATGCTGCTGAGCTAAATCCCTAGCCCAATTTGCTACTATTTGAGATACATACTATGAGTTAATAAATTGTAGGCCAAATCCATCCAGAAACTGCTTGTTTATTGACTAATCCAAGGGCTTTTTAGTGCTACACTATGTCTTCAACCCTTTTAATTTTAACAGTTTTACTGGCCTTAGACTTGCAATCCCTCTGTCTCAGTTTCCCAGATAGCTAGTATTGTAGGCCCAAACCACCAAATATGACACATTTTTTGGTTTTTTAAATGGAGTCTTGCTGTGTTCCCTAGGCTAGGTTCAACTCCTGATCTTTCCACATCAGCCTCCCCAGTAGCTGGGATTACAGCCATTTACTCGGTCTCACTGTGCTGTCCCTGCTGATCTTGAACTCCTGGGCTGTGGAACCTGCCTACTTGATTTTCTCAAGTAGCTAGAATGACGGGCATATCTGCCCCTCCTTTTTATTTTGATTTTGGTTATTTTTTTTTTAATTTTTATGTTCTATAAACTCATAGTGGTTTTTACAGTTTTAGTTGCATTAAAAAAATGGATAGGGAAGTAAAGAATTTATAGTAAGAACCTAAGTGGCTCATTGAATTTAAAACATTTACTGTGTTTTCTGTAAATGTACCATCCATAATAATGTCATTTGCATATGTCTATACATTAAGTAACTTTACAGAAAATACACAAAAAATATATTATTAGTGTTGCTTACAGTGGTGATGATGGTAGGATAGTGTCCCTTCTCTATACTCTTCATCCAGTTAGGATTTTTTCAGTTTGCACACAAACATATATTTCATAAACAGTCAAGTAAGGACTTCTTAATGCAAGTAGCTTTTAGCCCCTGTTGACTAGAAGTGTTGGGGAACTTTGTGAATTAGTCTGTTATGGTTTTGTTTTGTGCTCCAACCTCAGGTGTTTAGAGACCATCTTTGAGGAACCCAAGGAACGAAATGGTACGCTAATCTCAATCAGCCAACAGAAAAGGAAACGAGTTCTAGAATTTCAGGATTTTACAGTTCCGCGAAAGAGGAGAGCTCGGGGTAAAATCAAGTTGGGTGGCAGCTTTACCAGGGCACAGAAGGCAGCTCTGCAGAGTCGAGAACTGGATGCTCTTTTGATACAGAAACTGATGGAACTGGAGACCTTCTTTGCCAAGGAAGAAGAACAGGAACAGTCATCAGGCTGCTGAGAAGCAATGTGCTTGGAGGTCTTGGTCTTGGATCTTTCCAGACCTCCCTGAAAGAGGTTGCCTAATTGTGCCCTATGTCCAAACTACTCAAGATGCCCAGTCCAAGAATTTTTGCCTATTTCAAGGTGCAGCCTTTTTAGGAACTGGTAATGGAGGGTCCTGTGTTTCTACTGCTGAGTATAGAACCTCAGGAATGCTCTCTTTCTCCTGGAAATGGTCCCAGATGACAACTAGCCACCTCTTCCCTATCTCTGCCAGCCACAGGAGGAAGAAGCCACATATCTTACGCAACACTAAAATTCCAGTGACTTGGAGCATTTGCACGTCCACATGAAAGTTCTGTTGTTTTACGGTGGTGCTAGACCAAGATGACTTAGAAACATGGTCCAGGGAAGGGGACCTGGCTTCCTGTCTTTTGTGGACTAACCAGCTCATTTCAGTAGTGGGAGAAGATGAGCTGTTGTATTTTCTAATTCTTTGAGTCTGTCTGCCCAGAACTTGTTAATGTGAGTGAGTGTGTGTATGTGGCTTTTCCCCATTGTTTTCTCCCCTCTCTGACTATGGGTCACTAGTGCCAGAGGAGCCTGTCCAGGCCCCAATCAAAGTAAGTTGCACTTTCTAATGTTGTGATGTTGATTATTTTCATTGTATTTCATTTCATGTGTGTGTGTAAGTGTATGTGAGTGAATGATTGTGACTGCTGCATGTTTGGGGCCTTTAAATGTGATTTTAAAACAATTTTTTAAGAAATTAAGGAAAAAGACAATACATGTCTTAAGAGAAAACGTGCTAGGCATTCAACCCAGTTGACTGATGCATGGAAGACGTATTTCCCATTCATGTGTTTCAAGCAATCACTCGCCATCTCTAACTTCTAGTGTAGTTGATTAGAGGGAGCACTTTTTTAAAATCTGGGTTCTTTTTTCTGCCTATTAAGTACACATTTATTAAGTACATATTTATTTTAATGACATAACTAAGAACAAATTTCTCTCACAGTCACTTAAAAAATGCTAAGGTTGAGTGTGGTTTTATCTGAAATGTTAGTATGTGGCAAAATTGAGTATACTGGCTCAGATAGCGACAGAGGCCAACCTAGAGGGTCATCAGCTATTCAAATAGTTTACTCCAGCAGAGGGGAGAAAGTCAGGGTAGCAGTGCAGACCCACTGATGCATCTTCGGAGTGGGTTCCCAAAAGTCCACAGCCAGCCCTCTCTTGAGGGTACTTCATATACTCTGGTTCTGTGTCAAACCTACTGGAAGTATTGTTGAATGCCAGAAATGGCTGGTTTTCTGGGTTTGTGCCTGCAGGAGTCTGTGGGCAGCAGGATGCTATGTAGGCAGCAGGCCCAGAGGTCTTGTTTCTTTCCCACTAAATCCCTGTGTGCCCTCACTCCCTTGCTTGTCCTCTCCTCCCATTGTAGTTTCTTTTTTTCTTCTTCCTCTCTTTTAAAGTAAGAGTTCAGAGTTAACATTCCTTGGCTGGTGAGTAGGATGCCTGAGTCAGCCATAGGACACTGGTCACCTCTTCCCATCCTCCTAGGGACCACCACCATAAAACAGCCAATGATGAAACTGTCAAAGCTCCAGGGACAATTTCCAGTCTGTTAAGAAGAGTAAGTAATGGGGCTGGGGATTTAGCTCAGCAGCATAAGCGCCTGCCTTGCAAGCAGGCAGTCGTGAGTTCGATCCCTGGTACCGATAAAAACGAAAAAGACCAAAAAAAAAAAAAAAGAGTAAGTAATACCACTGTGGAACATTGGCTCACTCTTCTAGGATTCTTTGGCTCTCTCGTGTTGGTGGGGAGATGGGGTATGGGATAAGGGTCACTATGTGCCTTTCCTTTACAGGTTGATAGTCTGTACCACGCTGGAGCAGAAAAACTGACATAAACAGGAAAAAAGTGCCATGTTTGTCTTCCAGATTTGCCACCTCAGACATAGGATTTAAATAAATGAAATACGCACTTGGTCAGCCATAGTAGCCTCTGAGGCCGTAGCCTCATTGGGGTAGGAGAGCACTGGGTTTCCTTACTGGCTCTGCTTGATACTGCCAGATTCTGCTGTTCTGTGTACATTTTGCTCAGACTATGTGGATGCAACATGTTTCACCTCAGTATCTCTCCCTTCCTGGGACAGTGTTCTTAGACAGTTAGTACTTCTCTGTCATTTTGCTGAAGGAAATCAAATGGATAACAGATCATACCCTTGAACAAACACGTTTAGAGAGCTCCTGACAAAATCCTGTTTGCCTGCTCCATTGCCACTGTAGCCGAGGCAGCACTGTAGCAGCCAGGTCACCCAGCAGAGGAAAGTTGAGGTGGGCACAGCAGTGATATCACCAACACAATAGATGTACATTTTCAAGCTCAGCCATTATAGGTTCTTGAAAGGACTGGAGCATTGATTGGGAAAATTGGTATCTAGGAGTGAAGGACTTGAGTAACAGACCTGGCTTCTTCCTCATCCTAGGAATGTAGTGGGAAACTGCTCCAAGGTCACCTTTTCATGTCCTTGAAATTCTTGTCTTACCCTCTGGTGAGAGCCTTTATGCTCCAGAGATGAGATGGGAGCTTCATTGCAAAACTGCAGTTACTTAGGTGTAGTTGGTACATCGGGTCTAGCTGCCTTCAGCCACAGCTGTCCTCACACCCAGTTTTGTCACTGACCTAGCCAGTCTCAAGGTTGTCAGTGGTCCTCAGAACCTGTGGCCCCTCCCCACCACATTCCCAGGGCTTTAGGACAAGTGTTTTGTGGTGGGAGTTGGTATCATTTCTGAGATGCTCATCCCACGTGGTGGAACATTTCCTTTCACTGCAACTAACTCAACCATAACTCACCTCCAGAAGTTTAGTGTTCTATTAGAGTGTATGGGAAAAGAGGCAAGATCTCAGGTCCAATCAGAGTTCTGCCCATCTCTTCCACCTTTCAGTTTCTAGCTATAGTGGCCTCCTTCCGTCATATCCTTTCCTCCTCTTTCTTTCTCTTTCTCTTAGTCTTCTTTCCAGCTTCCTTTCTTTCTTAGTTTGAAGGTACCTCATCACCTGTTAAAACATTGTGTTCACCTTACCAAACTACAGCAGAGAGGTGCGATGGAAAGAAAGACATGTAGCATTTGCCTTACTCAGAGCCTGAAAAGCTCGGAAACTCATGCTGTGAATCCCAAAACTCAGTGTTTCTCCAAGAGCTGTGAAAAATCATGATACTTTGTCACAAATTTGCCTGAAGTGTCTTTTGTGTGGGCACTAGAGCCAACCCATGGTCAGTGTCAGATCCCACTTGGGGTATACTTGGCCATGGCTCGTCCCCTGCCCACCAGGCTAAGTGGAGCAGCAGCAAATGTGTAGGACTGTGGTAGCAGTGCAACCAGTGGGTGCAGAGCCATCACTTCAACTCCAGGCTGGGATTCCATCTCATCTGTACCATGTACATTATGATCCACAAAAGACCAACTTTGAGGCAGTGATACTTTTTGCCCAGTACATGAGGAGGAGAGAAGTATGCAGTTGGTGCTTTCTTTAATACCCTTGTTTTGTTTTGTTTTGTTTTGTTTTGTTTCTGTTAAGTTTTCCCTTGGAAAGGGCCTCTTAAACATATTGTGGTTGGCTGTATCCAAAGTACAAATAATTGGCCCAAGGTACAGAGGGTCCTTGCTTTAATTCATGTAAGGAGAGGGCTCCTTGACTGAACTGAACTGTATAAAGCTGGCTAAGGAGAGAGACTTAATTTTGCAAAATCATATTAATGTTACCATCTAAACACTTTCAGCAGCAAAAGCTATCGATTGTGAACTGAGGTGGTCACTGTGTAGCCCACCATCCAACGTGGCACACCAAGATTTGATGCTTGTTAACTGTCTTTGTAAGCCCCTCAGTGGTGCTGAATTGTATTTGAATTCTCAGTGAGAGACCTCCACATCTCCTTGAACTGGGATCTGGGCCAGTAAATAGCTGCCTGAAGTGTTACTATATTATCAGGATCAGTAGTTCAGTGAAATTTGTATGTTTTTGGTAACATTGGCATACTCAGTGCCCCTGCAGTTCCTCTTTGTTTGGTAGTTTGTGATTCTACGATGCCCACTGTTATGTGTGTTAATTTATGAAAATAAATCTTTTTGAAAACCTTTCAGGTAACTCTAAAGACTGTTACTTTTGTTCTTGAGGCTTGGTAATGAATTAACAGTTTACCTGCAGTGTCTCAAGGTTTTTATTGTTTTGTTTGTTTAACAGACATTCCAGAGTTATGTATCACAGGCATTAGGGCCAGGGATTTAGCTCAGCAGCATAAGTGCCTGCCTGGCAAGGGCGAGGTTGTGAGTTCAATCCTTGGTAAACAAGCATTATCCGCTCCAAGTTGGTCATTGTTTTCTGAAAACTGTCTTGTGCTCACAATATGTTTAGAACTCTTTATCTTTACTCCAGAGCTTGCAGTGGAGCTTTTTAAATGTTCTCAGCCATGGCCAGTTGTCTCTTGCCAGGGAATCTGGTATATAGAAGCAGTAGTCCTTCAGATCTGAATCATACCAAATTAAATGGGTCACTGGCCAATTATTTTAGGTGTGAATTTTAAGTAGCATGACTAGATGGTACACACCTGTAATCCCAGCACTCAGAAGGCCAAGGCAGGAGAGTCTCTGTGAGTTTGAGGCTGGCCTGAGCTACATAGCAAGTTCAAGGCCAGCCTAAACTACACAGTGTATTTCCCATATTTTCAAAATATTTGGAATAAGCCTCACTTGCTGGAAAGATTATTTGGGGGACTATAAATATAGTGAGGTATATTCATTTACTCTTGCTGTTTTGGGGTTTTTTTTTTTGGGGGGGGGGGTTGAGACATGATTTCACTATGTAGTTCAGGCTGACCTTGAACTTCGAGCAGTCCTGCCCAGCCTCCCAAATGCTGAGATTAAAGGTATGCATCACCATGCCTAGCAAGAAGCATGATTCTCCTTGAGGATGTTTTTCTGTCCAGACCAAAAATAAGTACCCACTTTCCCTTCTTGTCTCAGGACTTCTGCAAGGTGGAATTCTATCCATGTAGTGTTTGCTGATCAGCAAGCATCCTGCCTGACAGTTACACTTCTGCTTGTTAAGTTCTATCGTTGCTAGGGAGAGTCTTCCCCTACACCTTTGTTTAGAAGAGTGAGGCTAATTACCAATTAAGGTCTTATCATTTCTTTAATATCTGTCATCTCAGAAACTGCATTGATAAGACCATCTGAGGGCAAGAGGGTTGTCCAAACTGCCAGCCGCATAGTGAGTTCAGGCCTGTCTAGACAACAGAATAAGACCTTAGCTCAAAAAAGAGAGAGGTGGGTGAAAAATCCTCATGACGGTGATCAGCCCTCTTCTTTTTTTTGTTTTTGTTTGTTTGTTTGTTTCCTTTTTATTGGTACCAGGGATGGAACTCACGACTGCCTGCTTGCAAGGCAGGCGTTTATGCCGCTGAGCTAAATCCCTAGCCCCAGCCCTCTTCTATTGATGGAAAACTCATTTCTGTAGTTTATTCCATTCTAAAATTAACCATTGTAGAGAATTCTCAGTTCTTCAACTTCCAGGATGACAGTTACTTTTTCATAACATCTTTCTCAAATGTCCCAGGTCTTCCTCATCTATAGCTGATACGTTTGTTTTATATTTTGCTGAGAAGACAAAGGCAGTTTGAATAGAGCAAACTTCCTCAAGGATCCTCGCTGTTCTGAATAAACCAGGGGTGCCCCATACTATGGTATGTGTACCATCTGCCCCTCAAGTCTGGAACACTCCTCACATTTCTGCATGACTCCCTTGGCCACTTTACTCAGATCCCTTTACCAGATCACTGCCTGAAAGTGTACCCGCTCCTGTTCTGTAACCTCCTTGTTTTTGTGGCAAACCACCTCCCCATCTGTGTTGATCACTGTAGCACAAGCTCCTTGAGATTAGGGCCTTTGTTTTATTCACTCTTATCCTTCTTGGCCTCTCAGACATCTAGAAGAGTGCTTGATGTATGGCCATTCAGCATATAAACAACATTTTGGTCAATTATGGGCCACATGTACAATATGATCTCATAAGGTTAGAATGGCACTGAAAATTCATATGACCTGGTAAGATCATAGCCAGGGCAATGCAGGACATTACTCATACCTTACAAACCTGTGCTATCAGACATTAAGGCATATAAAATCATGCACAGTACATGTTTGACAGTGGTATAAATGACTTACTGATTTACGTATTTACTTTTATAGTCCTTAGAATGTAATCATTATGAATTTAAAATGTTTACAACATGTTACACTGACACCAACTTCATTTGTTCAATGTTTAGTATATCAAGAGGCCACTTTTTGTAGAACTGGGGATTGAACCCAATATCGTAGCACTAAGCTAAATCACCAGCCCATTTTTGAATTTTTTATTTGGCGGTAAATGCTCACCAAATTGACCTGAAACCCTTCTGCCTCAGTTCCCCTGAGTGCTGAGGTCACAGGTATATGCCACCATGCCCAGTTACAACTTTACATAAGTATGATATATATATATATATATATATATATATATATATATATATATAATTTTTTCTTTTTTTTAAGGTGCTGGGAATTGAACCCTGGTCCTTCATAATGACCTACATTCTCAGCCCTTTTTGTTTTGAGACAGGGTTTCACTAAGTCACTAAATTGTTCTTGGAAGTTGAATTTATCCTTCATCGGCTCCCAGAGTGCTGGAATTACAGCCTCATTTTAATATTTTTAAGTATACAACTCAGTGTCACTAAGTACATTCACAATGTCATGCAACTGGGCTGAGGATTTAGCTCAGTGGCTCAAGCACTTGCCTGGTAAGCATAAGGTTGTGAGTTTGATCTCCAGTACCAAAACAAACAAACAAACAAAAAACAATGTCATGCAACCCTCACCACTAATTTTTTCTTTTTTGGTGCCAGGGATCAAACTTACAACCTTGTGCTTGCCAGGCAGGTGCTTGTGCCACTTAGCTATATCCCTAGCCTAACTCTCACACTATTTTCAAAACTTTTTTATTAGTCCAAATAAGAACTGAAAAACTATCAATGCAAGTTCGAGACCAGCCTGGGCTACAAAGTAAACCCAAGGCCAGCCTAAACTGCACAGCAAGACCCTATCTCAAAAAGACCTAAATAAATAATTTTTATTCTGCCAATCTTCCAGCTCCATCATTTCTACTTTCTGTCTCTAATAACTTATTTAGTCTAGATACTCCATATAAGTGAAATCATACAGTATTTGATCTCTCATGTCTGGTTTGTTTCACTTAGCATGTCTTTAGGGTCATCCTTGTAGCATGTATCTGAATTGCACTCCTTTTTAAGGCTGAATAATATGTAGATGCCACATTTTTTTTTATTTATCTGTTAATAGACACTTGGGTTGTTTCTGTATTTGGCTATTATAGAAAAGGATGAAGCGGGCAAGATGGCGCACACCTGTAGTCCCAAGACTCCGGAGGCTGGGGCAGGAGGATCCCTATCAGTTCAAGACCCGCCTGGGTTACAATATGAGCTCAAGGCCAGCCTGAACTGCATAATAAGACCCTGTCTCAAAAAAGATGAAAAAGAAAGAAAAGGCTGAAATGAACAGTGGTGTACAAGTATTCATTCAGCTGTCTGTTTTTAGTTTATGTAGGTTTATGCCTAGAAATGGAATTGCTTGAATCACTAAGTCTATGTTTACTTCTTTTTTTCAGTTTTTTGTTGTTCTTGAGTTTGGGTGGTGGTCGTGGTGGTGGTTGTTTTGGAGACAGGCTGACAGTGTATCCCAGGTTGGTGTCAAAACTCACAGCAGTCCCCGTCCTCAGCCTTCCGAGTGCTAGGATTACAGGCTTGCCATTTTAAATTTTCCTGACTGTTGCCTTTCTGACATTGGGAAATGGTATCTCACTGTTTTCATTTTCATTTCCTTAATGACTTGTGATAGTATCTTTTTGTAGCATTTTGGCCATTTATATGTCGCTTTTGGGAAAATGTTTTTTCTAATTCTGCCTATTTTTAAATTATATTGCTTAGGGTTTTGTTGTTAAAATTAACCATCTTAAGGTAAACAATTCAATGACATGTAGTTTATTTGTAATGTAGAACTATCACCTCTCTTAGTTCAAGAATCTTTTATCACCCCAAAATACAGCCCTATTGTGTCTATCAAGCAGATACCAATATTTCCCGTTGTAACAGAGAAACAACCTCTAAGACATTAAGCAACTGTTCAGGATTACATTGTGCTTTGGGTTGATTAGTATCTGCCTCCAAAGTTGAAATTTTTTGTTTGTATTTTGGTTTTTTTTTGAGAAAGGATCTTGCTATGTAGTTCAGGCTGGTCTTGAAATCATTATATAGCCCAGGCTGGCATCATACTGGCCATCTTCCTGCAAGTGTGTGCCCAGTGTGAAAGGCTTGGTTTCCAGCCTATGACACTACTAGGAGGTTGTGGGGCCTTCAGGAGGTGGGAGAACTTTGAAGAGGGATAGCCTAATAGAAGGAAGTCAGGTTGCTGGGAGACATACCCTTGAAGGGAATATCAGGACCTCCAACACATCCTCCACAGTTCCAAAACCAACAGGCCAACGGACCATGGTGTGCAACCTCCAAAACATAAGCCAATATATAAATAAAAAGTGCTGGGATATAGCTCAGTGATAACATCATTTGCTTTGCACAGGCAAGGCCTTGAGTTCAGGCTTCACTACTGCAAATAAAAAAATGTACATTTGAGAAAATAACGTTAAAATATATCCTTTAAAGAATAATTAAATAGCCAAGTATGGGGGCTGGGGGTTTAGCTGGGCAGCATAAGTGCCTGCTTGACAAACGCAAAGTCATGAGTTCAATCTCCAGTATCAAAAAGAAAGAAAGAAAGAAATAGCCAAGTGTGGAGGCTCACACCTGTGATCCCAGTACTTGGGAGGCTGAGGCAGGAGCAGCTCTGCAAATTTGAAGACAGCCCAGACTACATACTCAGTTCAAAGTCATACTGAACTACATACCAAGATGCTGTCTCAGTGTTTTGTTTTGTTTTGTTTTGTTTTTAATTTGTGGGATGCCAGCTATGGTGGTACATTCCTATAATCCCAGCACTCAGGAGGCTGAGGTAGGAAGATCACTGAGAGT